ACGCTTTTAAGATGTAAAAGAACTGTTGTTCTCCATTCATTTTTACTTTACAAGATATTTTCGGTTGAAAATTTTCAAATTATTAATTCTTCTCCAAAGTATTAATTTCGATCTACATGTGCTTGCACATATTATAACCTTCAGAAAATAATAAGAAATTTATGATACAAACAAAATAGATATCACATAATTAGTAGGAAAGAATGTTTAAAAAATGAAAAAAATAAAATGGATTGTTAGGAAATATTTTAGGAAATAAAAACATAATTTTTTAGGAATTCGTGCAACTTTAATTTGAAAAAAAATTCGGTACTCTTTTCAGTACGACATCCACGAATATCACACAGCGGTGTTTTACAAAATCAACAGCTCCAAAAAAAAGTGAATCAGTAATAACCAATCGGATCTTTCTCTCTCTGTCTCGCATTCAAACGAAACTTTGAATGAAATAAGTTTGATCAATCATAGAACGCCCGAGAATCTCAGCGAATCGCTTTGTTTGACGTTCAATTCGAAAACTGAGAGCCGAGGAATTTGAAAAAATCCAATTCGAGTGAGAGAGAGAGAGAGAGAGAGAGAGGGAGAGTGTGTGCACGTACGAGAGAATCCGCGTTTCCTCTACGGCCGACAGACTGGAAAGGAAATCCATTCGCTATTCGCTCAGTTTTAATACGCTCGGACAACCGGCATATATACATCCGTTTCCGTTTTCCGGCACGCCGGCCGACCGGCCGGCCGCGTTGTCCTCCCCTGGCATCCTCTTCCGTCGCCCATCTCCTCCGCAAATATTCTCGCCGATCCTTCAATACCTGACCCAGACCAAATGCTGTCCAGTGGAAACGGCGTTTTCTGGAGCGCGAAATTGTGACGTGACCTTTCTCCGTTCTGCATAACGCCGATATCTCGGATTCGGTTTTTTCCTCGTTTCATCTCGGAAGCATTCAATCGTCCATCTTGAAGGGAAAGAGGCAAAATGTTATCACGAATTTCGTCGGACTTGACGTATAAATCGCTGAATTGTCTCTCAGCAATACTTGCTATTATTATTTTGCGCATCATGAAAACAAAACCGTGTTCTGTTTTTTTAAATCGATTAGAATTAATAAATTAAGTTGTTTTGAGTGATTGCCATGTATTTTATTCAACTTCATCAAATATGAAATAACTACAGCAATTTCATGTTTAATTGAAAACATCGATAATAGTGATGTACTAATTTATTAAAGTATTAATTTATTAAAGCTTCCTTAACCAAATCGTTGATTTTCTAAAATTCTGAGATCCATATCTTCGCAGTAAGTCGCGTAATGCGAAGGCATTAATGTGAAAGGATAATTTAGAAAATTATTGGAGTTGAAATGTGATGTACGCTGTGTGTACGGTAACGATAATAACGATAATAACGATAATACGCGACCGTTTCTTGGTAAAGAACAGGGTTCTCTATGAAACGCCATCACCTTTCGTGTCGCACCTACGTCAGTCGACCCTGTTATTTGTAAGTAAAACGGATTTCCTACGTCGCGGAAATGACCACTCAAAGTTATCGGTAACGCAATGTAAGGGTAGTAATAACGCGGATCTTATTGAACATGAAGCTCGTTGTGTCACGATGATACGATTACTCGGCATCGAATTAGCCATTACACGTGTCGGTAAAAGAAAATAATTTCTTTTTATTCTCGCATTTATATAATTTTTCAATAAATTAAATAAAATCTCAATAAATTCTTCAATAAATTAAATGTATCTATTATTTTTTCCTTTTATGCGTGAGCCTGATGATCGTTTGTATTAAATTTTTAATTAATATTGTAAAGAAAATTAGTTCTTTACAATGTATTTATGAGTGAAAACATAACAGAGAGAGGTTCGAGAAATGCGTTAACGAATGCATTAATAATACACTCAAAGAAAAGATTGGCTGCAGTAGCCTCGAATTGACTGCGTCAGCCAATTTCAATGGTCAAATATGGCACAGCATTTCAGTCGGCTGCAACAACCAGTTTTCAATGCTGCTATAAGCTTGGTTGGAGTTAAAACGTGACTTTGCTGCTCCAACCAATTGCCTACTTTACAGGGGCTTGCTGATTGGCTACTCCCTAACCAATAACTCCCGCGTGATGGCCTACTAGTTGGTTGCTCCAGTCAACTTACTCCTGCATAGTGGCCATCCTATGCATATTGTTACGACCATCTTATTTGATTGCGCAAACCATCTGCACGGAAAAAAAGTTATAATATATGAACACCTAAAAATATTACAACAATTTTTTCCGTGCAGATGATTTGTATATAATACAATCAGATAAGATGATAACAATATGCACAAGATTGAAGGCAACACCAAAATGCTTTAATCGGTTGATGGTCAGTTTTATTTCAAAACGAACAGTATTAAAAAATAGACAAATTATTTTCAAATGACATTAATTTATTTTTGAAAGCATTTACACCGCATATTCTAAATTAAAGTAATTTTATGATAAATCATTAACATATTTGTCTGTACATACTCACAATGCATGCCTTGTAGAAATAAAATATTTGCCATCATTCATTCTGACTGAAATAGCTGGAATGTGATCAAACAAATCATCAATGTTGATATAAGAAATTTTAGCACTCATTTGAACTTCGTATGCATGCATATGTTCATCAAAACCAATTGTTTTAAAAGTACAACATACAAGGCAAACCTTAAAGCCCTCCGTGCAATATATCCTTTGAATCTCACCAAAGATAGGCAATTCAAAATTATCTGAACCAAGAACAACATATATACCAATTTTGTATTTTGTTCCCTTATAATCAATCCATGGAACTTCTATGCAAGTTGCTTTAAAATCAACAGAGATGGACGAATAATCTGAATTTTCGTTTTCAGGCAATTCGTCTAAAATGTTCCCTGGCCCCATTTCAAATTTCCGAGTAAATCCTAGTTGACTTACTAATCTATAACACATTTGCAGAGATTCTTTGAACGCTAATGTAAAAGTAATGTTTCTTCTTGAGTATGTGGCATTAGCACGAATCTTGTTAAGCCTGTTCTTAGATTCTTGCCTCATTGTGCTAAATAAAGCTAATGGTCCTGACATTTCAAGCATTATAGGAAAGTGTAGCATAATATGATGCTTAGGTTTTAGTTTATCTTTAAAAAGTTCCTTGTACAATGTATGGTGTTCAAAAATGAGTTGCTCCAACAATATCGATATTTCAGTCTGAATGTTAGTGGCAGCAACAATATCAAATATTTGGCGTAAAACAATATAAAAATGCCAGAATTTATTATCACACGGCACAAAGTCTCCAACTAAAAAACCGAACGTTAAAAAAAAATTTATCATTTCAGTACCTGACATACTTAAATGTTTGTTTCTCACTTCCTCCTCTCTTACAAGTGGCGGCCTGTTCGAAAATCCGTTTATATAATAATCAAAACTTTTCATTCTTTCATTAAGCTCTTGAATTACAAAATGTTTCTCATTAAACATTAAATGATATAATAAATGGCCCATTCCATATCGCAGACAACCTTCTGCCATCTCATGTAACAAAGGATCTGAAGCAAAATTGTCATAAATATGAAATCCTTTAATTTCATTCCAAATTGAATATTCATTTAAACCAGAGTTGGATAGACCATCATGGATATCATTTAAGTACTTTTCTCTCCTTCTTAAATTTTCTTTTCGTATAAAGCAATCTTTTTCACAATCTTCCTTTCGGGTAGTGCAAAAACGACAATAATAAGTGGCATTAAAACCCATTGAATAGCCTAATATTGTATTGAGTCCAAGATTGTCTCCAGTTAATAAACCAAGAGCAAAGTATACCTTTTGATCACCCTGTGGCAAATGTAAAACAATACCATAGTCCTGAAGAAAATTGATTTCATCTACTAATATGCGAAACATAGCTTCATTTTTAAAATGGGCTCTATCAGATGCATGGAACAATAAAGTAACAAAAATTTCATTCAATGTAGAACGGTATTCTGGTGGAATACATGGAATAGTAACATAAGTTCCGCCTAGCTTTTGAATCGCTTTATGACTCCCCAATGGATTATTTACCTCAAAGTCGTCATAATAAACGAAAAGAGGGAAAACAATTTTGTCAGAAAAATAATCTGTTTTCTTTTTTCTCCACAATTTACCCTGAACAAAGTTAGATAATACAGCTGTCTCTTCCATTAGATATACCATGTAATTATAAATGATGTCAAATACTCCTGGAAGGCTAAAGAAAGCTTTCAAAATTGCACGAAGAGGTAGGAACTGACCATGTATGGGTACAATGTCTTTAATAATTCGGCTATCAACTCTTTTTTCACTTACAACATTTCCAACAATATATGGTTGAGGCTTAATAAAATGATCTGTTGCCTGTAAAGTTTTTATACGCTTATACTCAGAATTAAAATTCGTGAATAATTTATGAACTGTATCAAATAAATCGAAAATATTCGATACTATCTTCTCAATAGGTTCTGTTTCATTACACATAACACTTATAGCAGGCTTCAGAGATGATATAATACTAGAAAACAAGTCAGCTGTATCATCCATTACAATTTGAACATGCTTTCGGGGCAAAGTTGGATCTGCATACAATTTCGCAATGTAACGTAGCAAGTAGTTGTGAAGTTTGTCATTAATAGATTCTTTTGAGACCGATATATCCTGAAGAAAATCTGGAGAAAAATTAACATCTTCAGAGTCTAAGTCTGACGATCGTAAGTTAGCTCTATTACTTGTTTTAGCACTTTGAATACGACTCTTAAGGACAGAATTAGCTGGAAATTTATGATAGGATATAAGATGTTTTCGGAATTTTCTCCATGAATTATAATCTGATAAACATTGGGGTACTTGACACTTATATTCGGTAATCTCATCAAATTTATGAGCAGTACTTAAATGCAAATGTAGAGCATTGACAGAGGTCAAAGTTAAATTACAATTTTGCCCTACACACTTTATCATTGTGATATTTTATTTTCGAACATTCAAAAATATCTAAAAATTAATTAAAGTTCAATGCAAAACAAAATTATTCCCAACTCAAAATTGAAGTAATTTAATCATCTGTTAACTGTAAATATTCATTCACCAATGTTGCTACACTTGGTACATGTTCATCCCATTGAGTTTTCAATTGATAAATAGCTTGCTGAAGAAAAAGCCATGGCTGACTACTCTGAAAGGGATAGGATGCATGCAAAGCCTGATACGCTTTGAAACACACATCTATTGCACGTAAAGGGCTCTCTACCTTATATGGAAAATTGTCGATATAAACATACGATTCTGTTATGTTTGCTGTATTTTCACCAATGATGACAGGGAACGGCTGAAGTTGCTTCTTAGCAGCAAATAGCTTCTGCCTCATGCGTTCCACTTGCACTTCCAAGTCTCGTAAAGCCTAAAAAACCAGTTTAAATTTGACAAAAACATTTTTCTAGACATATTTTTCACATCACCTTCTCTTTTCTCTTGCAATATTATTAATTTGTTTTAAGGGGATGCTGAAATGACTGCTGAATTCTGATGTGAAATATCTGATGTATCCAATCGGAAAAAAATTACAATATCGATTTTTGTATCGTTTTCATCTGATATTGAATAATACTCTACTTTAATTTCGCACGTACTTTTATTGTTTAAAAGCGTTTTTAAATCTGTGTAACTAATACGACGTAAACACTACAGAGGAAAGTCTTACATACACACTATATATACAGGGTAGGCTATTTTAATCTACGCACTGAAATATCTTAAAATCAGACCATGCAAACTCTTATTAAATTTTCTTATAACTTCGACCAGTTGCAAGATATTTACCCGGGCATTTATGGACGGATACCTTGTATATATATTTTTTTTCGATAAAGTTTTGAAGTTCAACATCCCCAAAGACAGAAATATCTATTACCTTGATATGCAGCAGGAAACCAGCACTTAAATCTGCAGCCGTAGGACGCCACTTTCCAACATTTTTTGGAGAGAAAAGTGTTGGGATTGCTAGCAACACCTCCACAGTTTCCTCTGAAAGTAAATAGGCCTTGGAAAGAGTTTCTATTGAAAAAAGGGAAAAAAGCTAAAATTTTTTGAATGTATTACCTTCAGGAGTTGAGGATATTATGTTAGTCTTTAAAAGACTTTTTATTCTTTGAACAATTTTCTCCCAATTGGACAAAAGTTGCATTGAATGATTAGGGTACAGGTAGTTGAAGTCTTGTTCCAACTGGAATTGGACAAATATACAATATTATTTTCAAATATTTAAAAAATAAAATAATAAAATTTTAATCCTAGCAATTTACCAAAATATAACCCCAAGGCTGTCGCAAAATACGAAATTCATTGAAGTAGTCAGTAATTGCACCAATAAAGTGTTTGCCTTTTTTCTGTCTGTATTCCGTATTTCTGAGTTTCAAAAGTCTTATGGAGGCAGTCTCTTTCCACTTTATAATGGCCTCATTCTGTGGCTCCAGGCATCTCCGTAACCACTGTAGGTTATCTAACTGTGTTTCTGAAGAACCCGCTCCTATGTGTGATCATAATATCATAATATATAATATATAAAAAATTGTCATTTATAATATATCATCATATATAATATCCTGTAGTTATAGTATCAAATGAGAGTCAAAGTGGGCTTAAGAATTGTTTAAAATTCAAAATATTGTTTCTATAGGTATATACCATTAAAGTCATGAGAGTCATTCACGTCCTGCTCTTCTTCCTGTAAATTGCCACTCCGAAGCTCTGCTTTTCTAAGTTTCCCAATTAATTTCGTGTACTGATCGTATAGCTTTCCTTTAGGTTGTACTGCTCGATCAGTCCCAGTAGTCTTCTTTCTTCTCGGAATGTACCAAGTATCCTAGTTCAAATAAAATAGAATGTAGCATAAATAAAGAGAACATAAAAGTCTACTATTAAAAAATTAAAAAATAATAAAAAATATTTAAAACTAACCACAATTTCCGTAGGAAAAAGTTCTATGATTTGTTGACTAAGTCGCTTGAAATCATCCGAAGTAATTCTGTAACAAATATATATCATTAATTTTGTTTATATTTATAGTAATTAGTAATACCTAATTACAGTAACTGTGAAATAATTCGAACAGCAGTTTATTGCACCACACTCACCGTTTGTTCGGATCACTAGCTAACTCTGCTGTTACTATGTATTTTGCTAAATCTGATCTCAGAGCGTTGTCGAAGCCTTGATTTTTATACAGACCAAAATAGCTCTTGCCATCACTTGTTCGTTCAAGATAAAGCCTTACATCCTACAACAATATTTAACTTGTAATTTTTTATTACTTTAAATAATGACAATACTTAATAAGGACTTACATTTGAAACACAAGTAGGTTTTCGGTTTTCATTCAAAGAATTTTTCTTGCAACGTTTTACTTGCTGTGACTGTGATGCCTCAATCTCTATTGACAGGGGATCAGTAGGGAACTCCTCATTAACTTGTAATTCCTCATCAACTTTTTGTTCTTCAGGTATATTTGCAAAGATTAATTCTTCCAAAAGACTACCATCGGCAGCAACAACGGCATTTATTGTCTCAATAGCTCTATCTTCCAGATCTACTGCATTCTCAACCTGAAATAGAAAATAAAAGCGAAAAAGCGTGAAAGGTTAAATGAATAATTTAAAACTAACAGAGGACATATATTTTACCTTCATTGATGAAGACACTAAATTTGTCCATAAGTTCAAAAATTTAACTTGTGGGCCAAATAGAGGAATCAAAAGACGTATGTGCTCTTCCTTTAGTTTTAAAAAGCTATTCTTATCTATTTCATGTTCTAAGAGAAAGTTTACAATAAGACAAAGAATTTAAACAATAAAATGAAAATGTAAAGCATTGTGTTTCCAAATTATTAAAAATGTTTAGTAATAATATCATAGACAGACAAAAAAATACGAACAATCTATACTACAAATAATATAATATATAAAAAACCTGCTATCGAAAAACTTCCGTATAAACTTACCTTTAAATATTGCTTCATAAGATGAAAATTCCCACTTCTTTAATATATTAATTGTCCACTCGTCTGCCATAATAATGATTGTCAAATGGCTACGTTCAGCAGAAAAAACGAAACGAATAATTACGAACTCTTTTATATTTCTATGTTTTATATAGTACTTATGCTCTTCATGAGCAGCTTGCGTAGCAGTCCAGAAAGCTTCAATATTTGTCATTCCAGAATGAGATCTATAATAAAATATAACGATATTATTATTAATAAACACTCCAATAGGTTACATTAAGTAATTTAAAATAATTACATAGACTTCTATACAAGCACAAAAATTTATATTATAATTTATACATATTACAAATGTCGAGTATTATACATCACACACACGTACATACGTATATCATTACTGTCCTATTTAATAAAGAAAATTTAATTACGATCTATTATTTCTCCTACTTTCTCTTCTTCTTGTTCTTTTCTTTAGTCATGTATCTCTATTATTTTTAATATTATGCCTTGCTTAAATGCAGAAGAAAATAAGTAAAAGTTTCCCGATTACAAAAAAAGTCTATAATTGCAAGAAATTGAGAAATTTGTAAATAAAGAAAGATGATAAAAGATAAAGTAGAAGAAATATCTTATGAAGTTACAATTATTAAATTAATTATACCTACTAATATTTTAAAAGTTATGATGTTACAGTTTTTACTTACTCATTGCTCAAATATTTATCGATACCATTCTGAATCGCGAATCGCGCACAGTCTGGCACCGCACTTAGAAATACTTTTCCGCCGGTCACTCTCTCTCTCTCTCTCACCGTTTATTTCTGATATAAGAGGCTTTATGATGGAATCAGTATCGAGACGAAGAGATTCTTGTTGAGTTTGAACGACAAATAAGTCTTTTATATTACTGCGAATCGCGCACAGTCTGGCACCGCACTTGGAAATACTTTTTCGCCGGTCACTCTCTCTCTCTCTCTCTCTCTCTCTCTCTCTTCTTTCCTCTTCCTCTTACACTATTTACTGCGAACGTGCGAGCGATTTCGTCTCTCCGATAGATCTTAGGCTGGAGCAGGCTTATAGAGTACCATGGCACGTATCCACGTATTTTCTGCGTGATGCGTAACGCGCAAAGCTTCAGTCGGTTACGTGGTTATTTACGCGGGAAAGAGCCCGGTGCCGCAGCGGCCCGGCGAACTTCACGAAAACAAACTCCTATCGCCGAGCGCTTGCACGACAGACAAATTTGAGTTTGCTAGCCCGGCCAACTGTCTTATCAACCTTGTCGGTAAGGTCACCGCAGCTAAGAAATTGCCTAATGAGCCAACTACTTACTACCTTTGAAAGTTGGTTACGTTGGCCTATCTAAAATCATACATTGGAATTGCGATTTGCTGCTTCAAAAATTAAATAGTTATGGCAGAAAACTTTTATGCAGCCAATAAAAATTGACTATTGCAACAATTCTTTTCTTTGAGTGTATGTGTTTATAAAAGCAATGATTTTAAACAACTGTCGCTGATAGTAAAAGATCTATCCCGTAAAATTCTTCCGGTCGTAGAATCGACGGGAGATGCAGGTGGCAACTATTCGATCAAGTATATTTTGTGTTCTAGGGCCGCCATTGTCTGCAAGAGCGGTCCTCGGTGGAACGGCCGAGCTGCCATGCGATATTCGTCCACCTCATTCCAACGATTCCGCTATCTTGGTCGTCTGGTACAAGAGTGACGTCATTCCGATTTACAGGTAAGCTCTTAACTCCTGCTTTTTATGGTTCTTAAGCAAAACTCTTGGAAGTTAACTCAGTTAACGTACATCGCATGCGAGAAGTCGTTGAATAAAAGAGATACGTGTAAGGTCATAATTTTTGCATATCTAACATTTTTTCTGTTTTATTCCGATAAATATACTTTATATGTAATTTTGTAATATCACTAATATTACTAAGAACTCTTGGTGATTGATATCGTCTCTTAAAAACTTCTTCTAAGAACATTTTCCAGACTTTGGTAATCAAATATAATATTTGAGATAATATATGAATTAATAAGATTTTATTAAGACACACACCCAAGAAAATGTTCTCTCAGATTGGAATCTTTGAAATAACATTAATCTTTAATGAATTAATTATATCTCGAAATCAAATAAAAAATAACGAAATTAATTTTTGTTAACATGTTTTCAAAATGTAAGTTGTATCCACATTTAATGTTGTATTTTTAGTGACATTTCATTCAATTTTGTTTAAATAATAGATGTACACGAATTAATGAGAGAGAGAGAGAGAGAGAGAGAGGCGGAGAAGGAGGAGGATCCAATGTTTTATTCAGTAGTATAATGATTAATTATTTCTTCCCATCGTCTCATTCGTCTACTTTTATCATTTATCTTTTTTTTTCGTATCGGAGTTAGATTACCATTACTGTAGGGTTGTATAAAAAGTCAGTATTCTAAATGTACGACGTGTTTTCAAGCAACCAAAGACATAGCCTTAGACATAGCATTACGTAATTATCGAATGTTATAACGAGCTAGTCGTGTCATAGAGTCGCTGTGTTTCATTGCATGGTGGATAATTATTTCTTCCTGCCGGCTCATTCACCTACCTTTATCACTTATCTCCTCGTTCTCTATCGGAGTTAACTTACCATTGCGGTACGGTCGTATAAAAAGCGAGCACCCTGGATATACAACGTGACCTGGGCTCGTTAAATGTCACGATAAGGGCGACGATAGGAAGAAGTCCCGGGCGAGGTTGGTCCACGTAAGCGATATTCACGCGTGCGGCCACTACACTCGCGTGTATAGCGAAGCAGGGCCGGGGGGTCCGCTTTCGTGTGCGGGCTAGACGTCGATTTTTCGATGGCAGCACCCGATACCGGCCGCGGCGGCCAGCCAACCGCTTTGCGAAAATGTGAGCTCGCCCGAGCACGAATCCGGCGAGGCAAAAAAATATACAAACTAGGGGTGGCTAAAGATGACTTTCATATTTACGGCCTCTCCACAAACATTCCACCGGTCGAATAATCATTGCGTGGATGTATTATACGAGGGATACTCGAATAGACCGACTAATGAAATTTAAATTATAAATCCGTTGTTATCAAGAAACAACAGAATAGTCCTAGTTCAATTTGCATGTATGTCTAATGGAAAAAATATAGAAAGAGTATGGGCCACTCACATACATTTTAATATCCAAAATTGTACATGTCGAAGTTTGAATATATGTATACACATTAATGCATACACATATAGACTTTTAGTATGCTATACATTTTGCGTACAGAAAAAATAAAATAAAATATATTTTTTTTGTTTTTTGATAATTTTTCTTTGTATTACGTAAAAATAATTAGCGTTAGTACTCGAAAAGCCATCATCCTAATGGCAAAGTAAATTCCTCGCAATCGCATGAAAATGAATTAAACGCAATTCCGCGAAATATAATCAAGCATCTCAAACATCAACTCCGGCATCGGTGTAATTAACTCTACGTTAGCATAAAACAAATAGTAACTGAGTTACGAATCGGTTATACTGGGACTTCCTAAACTTTCCCTGAGTCGATTACGAAAGCTTCAAATCTAAATGTCTCCTGCGTCTTTGATATTATATAAACTGATACGAAACATAAATATATAATGGTTTAAATATAAAATGGATGTTTGAAAACGCGCACTACGCTCCTAGACAACTCGCGAACAGTAGTTTGAGGGCCATTTCGCGTTACACGAAAAATGTTGCAAATATTATTCTTCGATCACACGAGGAAAAGCACTCGCACGAAAGCCAGGCTACTAAAAGATTGCTCGTTGGTACGTCGGTGCTTGATAAAATCGTCGGATCGCGAGTCACAATTCACAACATGGAATTGAAAGTCCGAATGAAAAAGCGATGGACTGTTTGTTACATTTTCCTCAATACGTCAACCGCAATCAAATCGGCAGGAGTACTCACTCGTCAGATAGATTTCTCTATTCCGTTGTCGACATACTCGGCATGCAATTCGCTGTCTGTCACTTATGCAAAGTTGCCGACAAGACAAACGCGCACCATTGTCAGATCCATTCATTTTCGTGCGCCGCTTTCTTATTCTTTTTACTTAAAATAGAAGAAATATAGAAGGATAAATTCTAAATTCCATTTACTGAAATCGTGTATATCAAAACCCTTAAAAACGAAAATCTGTTTTCTTTATCTAAAAATTTAATTAATTTGAACGAATGAGCTTCACAAAATTAAAATATTTCCTCTCTTTCGAGCACTTGTACATTTTAAGGTGCGCGGATTTGAAATTTGGAACGTAAAGCATTGCTGCACATTTCAATTTCAAAGTAGCAGAGATGAATAAAGATAGTTGTAGATAGAAAACACATGTATTTAAGTAGAAAAGATTTATTCTGTAATATGAAAATTGAGCTTGTAAATATGATCACGAATTTTTTAATGGAAAAGGATAAAGAGCTGTGAAGTTAATAGCTCGGCTTGTGAATTATAACGGAAACCACGAGTGATGCTGTAAATACTAGGTTCGACGTATACATCCGTAGATTAGTCGGTAAGACATATACATACAAATTAGATCTTGGAATCTACTGTTTACAGTGTCAAGAGTGGTTGACTCTCTCTGTTGAAGTAACTGTTTTCAAACCAACAATTAGAGTCCATAGTTGCGGTTGCTTGTTCTAGATTCAATGTCGCTTCGTTGCACGACAGAGTTTTGCACTTTCTGTTTGTCGTGTCTAAGTCTGAAAGGGGTCGCAGAACGCCGTGTCAAGCTGCGACATAAGTGTACATGCCCGTGCCGAGTGTCGTTAAGCGGCCGTCCTCGCGGCCGCTTATCAATTTACAGGCGATTGAAAGAAGCCTCGCGATCTTAATCAAATTAATCGCGCATCGAGGTGCCGGGGAGATCTCGTCGCTCTTTTCATTACGGTAATGCGAACGTCGCTATCAACTAATGGAAAACGCGCTCGGGGCAGTCAGTGGGAATTACAATGCGCATAAAGCGTAAGTAAACATCGATGTACCTCCCGCCGTTAATTCCAGCGACAATCGTAAACCGTTCATATCCGTCTACGGTCGCTGCGGCTGTGCTGATGCTCTTAATGAATTCTATCGAGCCACTTGCCTCGAGAGTATGTCGTCTCTCGCGGAATTGCTTCGCTATAGCGCAGTCGAGAGATAATGGAGTCGCATGCTGTGGAACTCGTAAAAGGGAAAGAGCTAGACGCGCGAGAAAGGGCGACGGGAGAGAGCCGTATAGAAGGCAGGGCGGAAGGCGGAAGGGCGCCAAGACGTTCCGCGAGATAATGGTGTATCGCGCCGGTGGCGCGATTTAAGCGGAAGCCGCTTTGTCAAACGCCGGTCATTTTTCACGGTCGCGGTGTATGTACGTTATTCGTCACGTAACCGATTTTCTGTCTAACAGCTTTCGCCCGGCATTGAAAACGTCACGAGAATCCGCCTCGTAAATCACGTTAGATTGTAAAATTGACGCAAGTCGATAAATATATATCCGGACGATGACATTGTACGTCTCCGTATGTCGTATCGATCACGTCCGAAGGAAAGAAGTTCGCGCGCTTTGTGGAAAGAGACGTCGATCGTTATATTCGTCGCGCATTTAACCGAACGTAAATACCGCGGTAAATTTTACGCTAATCTTCCGTTGACGTGAACCGCGACTTGCAAGTTTGAAAAATAAAAATCAGAATAACATTTCTACGTTAAACGCAGGTATGGAGTGTAAAAAAACTTTGATAAGTATTTCTTACTTATTCGTCGATCGACGAGAGGATTGGGGAAAACGCGCGAGAGAGTAAAATTTCAGCTAGATTTTAACTAGATTTTAACTAGATGTTAACTAGAATAGCAAACGAGCGTGTCAACGGGTAATATCTTCCTGCCTCGGTTAATGTATTTCAGTCTCGAAAATTGCTCTGTATTAGCTATTATCGGCTTTATTCATGGATACGTAATTTGCCAGTCACTTTACTTCAGACATGCCGACAAATCGATACTCCGATAAGGACTGCCAGATAAGTTTAATTAAAACGATATTAACGGAAAGTCGATACAACTGTGCACCGGTCCGCGAGCATAAACATTAATCTTCAAAATCTCGATATCGCTTCTATATTATTTGACGAGCTCAACACAGGGCGTTGAGCATTGCACGTGAGACGCTTAAAGTAAATTGTTATCAATTAAAGATACATTGCACGCGCGCGCGATCGTGTAATGAATATTAGATGCAATAAATTACGACGTGACGTTGCTATTGCGCTAACGTTCAAATTATGTCGTTTAATCATTCCGTCCTCTCTCCTCGGCCACCTTTTAATGATGTCGAAAGGCTTGAAATTCGTTCGCCATAAAGTTGGCTTAACATGGGCCGACCACATTACGCGTTATATTTACATTACGCGACCGCGCAATTCTGTTTTGCAACCCGCAAACTTTTAAGCACCTTGTTATAACGCCGCTTTGGCGAAGTCAATATATATTTCAACGTTATTAAAATGCCTGGGAACCACGAGAGCCATGGAGTCTCTGGAAACTTTGATCTTTTATATGAATACTTTACTCTATCCGATTAAAATATTTTCGTTATTTGCAAGATATAATTTCGAATTTTCAACTTCTGGTCGCGAAATCAATATAACGGTATGAATAAAAATGGAGTGCTTATCGATTCTCCGAAACCGGCTTGATTTGCCGGTTGAACAAATTATCTT